ACCAACATACATGCCCCTGACCGGAATCGAACCCGGGACCCTTCAGTCCGCAGACCGACACTCTATCCACTGAGCCAAACCGGTTTCGGCTATAATCAATAAAAGTATATTTAAATTTTTTTTTTTGAGAAGCAGGAGTCTAGAACTTTCAGACAACAGGAAACATTACATTCACATCATAGGGGCACCAGAAAGAGAATAATCCAAGCAAGGAATAGCTTGGATTATTCTCTTTGAATAATCCTGCTTGAAGAAATAATTTTTGTAACAAGGTGAAGGAAAAGGTCACTCAAGTTCAGGAAGCACAGAGAGTCCGAATCAAGAAGAACCCCCAAAGACCCACACCTTGGCACATCATAATTCAACTGGCAAATATTAAAGACAAAAAGAGAGAATCCTAAAGGCTGCAAAAGAAAGAAAGTTACTTATAAGGGAGCTCCCATCAGACTGTCAGCTGGTTTCTAAATAGAAACACTTCAGGCCAGAAGAGAGTGGCATGAAGTATACAAAGTAATGCAAGATAAAGGACTAACCTTAGACTACTCTATTTAGCAAGGCTATCATGCAAAATCAAAGGTGAAATAAAGAGCTCTGCAGACAGAAAAAAAAAGGGGGGGGGGGGCTAAAAGAGTTTATTACCACAAACCAGCACTGCAAGAAATGCTAAAGGGACTGTTGTAAGAAGAAAAAAATAGAAAGAGAAGAACAATAATAAGAATGGCAACAGCCAAAACCAGTTAGGCTCAATGGATAGAGCATTGGCCTGCGGACTGGGGTGTGTGTGTGTGTGTGTGTGTGTGTGCGCGCGTCCCCAGGTTCGATTCCAGTCATGGGCATGTACCGTGGTTGCCGGCACATCCCCAGTAGGGGGTGTGCCCGAGGCAGCTGATCGATGTCTCTAACTCTCTATCTCTCTCCCTTCCTCTTTGTAAAAAATCAATAAAAAAAAAGAATGGAAACAAATAAGTATCTATCAATAATAACCTTAAAGATAAATAGCATAAGTGCTCCAATAAAAAGACATAGGGTAGCTGAATGAATAAGAAAATATGACTGTCTACAAGAGACTCACATCATAACAAAGAACTCATAGAGAATGAAAGAGAAGGGATGGGAAAAAAGTTCCAGGCAAAATTAAAAAAAAGGTAATGAAGGCCACTTCATGATATTAAAGAGATCGATAGAACAAGAGGCCATAACTCTGGTAAACATATATGCGCCAAATACAGGATAATCCAAATATAAAAAATAAAAAGAAGATTTTAAGGGAGAGACCAACAGCAATACACCAATAGTAGGGGATTTTAACACCTCGAAGATATCACTGGATAAATCTAGAAAATTTTTTTTAAGGAAACTGCAATTCTAAGTGACACACTAGATCAGATGGAATTGACACTTTCTGAATATTTCACTCCTACAATCCCCACAGCACCCTCCTGTCTCCCTACAGTCCCCACAGCACTCTCCTGTCTCCCCCCTACAGTCCCCACAGCACCCTCCTGTCTCCCTACAGTCCCCACAGCACTCTCCTGTCTCCCCCCTACAGTCCCCAGAGCACCCTCCTGTCTCCCTACAGTCCCCACAGCACCCTCCTGTCTCCCTACAGTCCCCACAGCACCCTCCTGTCTCCCTACAGTCCCCACAGCACCCTCCTGTCTTCCTACAGTCCCCACAGCACCCTCCTGTCTCCCCCCTACAGTCCCCACAGCACCCTCCTGTCTCCCTCCTACAGTCCCCACTGCACCCTCCTGTCTCCCCCCTACAGTCCCCACAGCACCCTCCTGTCTCCCCCCTACAGTCCCCACAGCACCCTCCTGTCTCCCTACAGTCCCCAGAGCACCCTCCTGTCTCCCTACAGTCCCCACAGCACCCTCCTGTCTCCCTACAGTCCCCAGAGCACCCTCCTGTCTCCCTACAGTCCCCAGAGCACCCTCCTGTCTCCCTACAGTCCCCACAGCACCCTTCTGTCTCCCTACAGTCCCCACAACACCCTCCTGTCTCCCCCCTACAGTCCCCAGAGCACTCTCCTGTCTCCCCCCTACAGTCCCAGAGCACCCTCCTGTCTCCCTACAGTCCCCACAGCACCCTCCTGTCTCCCTACAGTCCCCACAGCACCCTCCTGTCTCCCTACAGTCCCCACAGCACCCTCCTGTCTCCCTACAGTCCCCACAGCACCCTCCTGTCTTCCTACAGTCCCCACAGCACCCTCCTGTCTCCCTACAGTCCCCACAGCACCCTCCTGTCTCCCTACAGTCCCCACAGCACCCTCCTGTCTCCCTACAGTCCCCACAGCACCCTCCTGTCTTCCTACAGTCCCCACAGCACCCTCCTGTCTCCCCCTACAGTCCCCACAGCACCCTCCTGTCTCCCTCCTACAGTCCCCACTGCACCCTCCTGTCTCCCCCCTACAGTCCCCACAGCACCCTCCTGTCTCCCCCCTACAGTCCCCACAGCACCCTCCTGTCTCCCTACAGTCCCCAGAGCACCCTCCTGTCTCCCTACAGTCCCCACAGCACCCTCCTGTCTCCCTACAGTCCCCAGAGCACCCTCCTGTCTCCCTACAGTCCCCAGAGCACCCTCCTGTCTCCCTACAGTCCCCACAGCACCCTTCTGTCTCCCTACAGTCCCCACAACACCCTCCTGTCTCCCCCCTACAGTCCCCAGAGCACTCTCCTGTCTCCCCCCTACAGTCCCCACAGCACCCTCCTGTCTCCCTACAGTCCCCACAGCACCCTCCTGTCTCCCTACAGTCCCCATAGCACCCTCCTGTCTCCCTACAGTCCCCACAGCACCCTCCTGTCTCCCTACAGTCCCCACAGCACCCTCCTGTCTCCCTACAGTCCCCACAGCACTCTCCTGTCTCCCCCCTACAGTCCCCACAGCACCCTCCTGTCTCCCCCCTACAGTCCCCACAGCACCCTCCTGTCTCCCCCCTACAGTCCCCACAGCACCCTCCTGTCTCCCCCCTACAGTCCCCACTGCACCCTCCTGTCCTCCTCACTCACACTCTCACCTCACTCTCTTGCTCACACTCTCACCCTCCCTTGTTCTTGCGGATCCCCATGTGCAAGATCTCTCTGACTTGCTTCCCCAATTCTCTTTCGATTGAGTGCTATTTATTTTCAAACTATTTGTGTTTTTGCCATCTAAAGTGTAACGCTGGGGTGGCTCAGTGGTTGAGCATCGGCCTCTGAACCAGGAGGCCACGGTTCGATCTTGGTCAGGGCACATGCTTGGGTTGCAGGCTTGATCCCCATTGTGGGGCATGTAGGAGGCAACTGATCAGATTATTTCTCATCATTAATGTTTCTCACTCTCTCTACCTCTTCCTTCCTCTCTGAAATCAATTTTAAAAATGTGTAATAAGGATATCCTTGTAAAAAGGATATAATCAGGCCATTTAAAAATACATATCTTCATTGATTTCAGAGAGGAAGAGAGAAGGGGAGAGAGACAGAAACATCAATGATGAGAGAGAATCATTGATTGGCTGCCTCCTGCACGTCCCACACTGGGGATTGAGCCTGCAAGCCAGGCCTGTGCCCTGACCAGAATCGAACCAGCGACCCCTCAGTTCGAAGGCTGATGCTCTATCCACTGAGCCAAACCAGCAGGGTAGGTCATTTAATCTCTGACTTTCCATTTTTTAAAAGAAAATTTAAAAAATATATATTTTATTGACTTTTTACAGAGAGGAAGAGAGAGGGTTAGAGAGTTAGAAACATCGATGAGAGAGAGTCATTAATCAGCTGCCTCTTGCACAGCCCCAATTGGGGATGTGTCCGCAACCAAGGTACATGCCCTTGACCAGAATCAAACCTGGGACCTTTCAGTCCTCAGGCTGACGTTCTATCCACTGAGCCAATCTGGTTTCAGCTAATCTCTGACTTTCCATTCGAGAAGTAAACTCACATTTAATATAATGATAAGATTCCAGGGTTTACATCTGCTATTTGTTCTTTTTAAAAATGTCATATCTTTTTTGTTTCTCAATTCCTATACCATTTTCTTCTTTTGTGTTAAATTATTTCATTATGCAGCTGTCTTTAAATTAGATGCAGAAAAAGGCTTACAAAACAAAACTACATTTATATTAATACTGTCTTTTGTATTTATTTGTGTAATTTACTATACTGTATAAATGTAAAATTTACTTTGCTGATCTTCATTTCTTTTCTTTTTATATATATATATTTATTAATTTTTTACAGAGAGGAAGGGAGATAGAGAGCTAGAAACGTCGATGAGAGAGAAACATCGACCAGCTGCCTCCTGCACACCCCCCCACTGGGGATGTGCCCACAACCAACGTACATGCCCCTGACCGGAATCGAACCCCGGACCTTTCAGTCCGCAGACCGACGCTCTACCACTGAGCCAAACCGGTTTCGGCTGATCTTCATTTCTTCATGTGGATTCAGTTATTGTCTACTGTCTTTTCATTTCATCCTGAAGGACTCTCTTTAGTATTTCTTTTCAACTCCAGAATTTCTATTTGGTTCCATTTTATTATTTCTATCTATTAATGTTCTCCACTTGGGCTTCACGGGGACAGTTTCTGCTGCGAGCTCTTTTTCTCTGTATATCGGCCACACTGTCTGTTTCTTTGCTGAGAACTGGACATTGCAAACACTGTGAAGCGGGGACTCTGGCAATCAGATCCGCACCACCCAGAGCTTATGCCGTGTGTTGCTGGCGTGTTCAGTGGTCTTTCTGAGCTAGTCTCCTAGTCTGTCTGTGCTGGCGCCCGAGTCTGGGCTCAGTTGTGGAGTGGTCAGCCGGTGGCCAGCTGCCACCTTGCAGCGTCAGCGGTCAGCTCCGCCCCGCACAACCCGGGCGTCGCGGCCAGGCTTCCCGCGCACACAGCCCCGCGTCTCCGTGGCTTTCTGGATTCCCAGCGGTGCCAGCTCTTTTCAGAACCTAAGCACAGCTCACTTCTCTTCCCTGTGAGTGTTCGGTCAGCTGGTTATTGTCCGGCGCTGCCTGTTGCCGGGACGATGCTGCCATGGTGCCACAGGCGGTACCAGGGCGCGTGGGTGAGGCGGAGGGAGGACCAGGCTTCCCGGGGCCCGCAGGCCGGGCAGGGGAAGCTGCACTCTCTTTGGGGACGAAGCTTTGGGAGAGCTCTGGCTCTGTCTGCTCCCTCATCCCTGGTGTCAACGGAAGGTCCCTGTCCCCAATTCAATGCCAACTGGGAGGCGGTACGAGAGAGACTATTCAGTGGAAACGGCTCCGTTGTGAAGCAGCTGGCGTGGAACGGAGACAGAGGGAGGTCGGCTGACAGAACGCACAGCCCATTCCTGACGGGCCCATTTTTATGCAAATGAAGAATTCAAATTTGTACAGTTTGGTCCAAAAAGCACTGTCCTGCTTGACTGGCTCATCCGTGCTGTGGTCGGAGGGGGCGGCTGTGGTCCAGGAGGGCTCCCGGGCGGCCAGGCTCTTCCCGGGCATGTGCCCCGGGCAGGGCCCTCCTCCGCAGGAAGGCCGTGGCCGGCCCTTCTCCCGCAGGCGGAACCTGGGGCTGTGGACTGTTGTTCCCAAGGCCGCCGCGGAGTTAGGGTTCAGGGACTGGGCGGCCGAACGCTCCGCTCGGATCTCGGTGCTGCTCTGGCTCTGACTCCGTGCGGACCCCGTGCGCTCCTCAGGGGAAGGGGAAGCCCGCCCCCGGCGCCTGCCGGCCTCCGCCCCCGGGACCGCGGCCTTGGACCGCCTGGACCCCGGAGGCTGGGCCGCTGGAGTCCGGGTGGGATTTGTGGCCTCGGGGTCGCAGGAAAGGGAAGGAAGCTCAATGGTTGCTGCCTGGCTCGCCCGGGTCAGTCAGGCTTTGCCCTCCTCCGCATGTGCGGGGCCCTGCCTGGCCAGGGACCCGGCCCGGCGCTCCTGGGACCCCGGCCAGCCTCGCCTCCACGCGCTGCCCCTCCGGGGACATGCCCGCTGCCCCTTGGAGGCCAGGATGAGGTGTGAGTGGGCGGTCCCGTCCGTCTGGCGGTGGCTGCCCGGGCCGGGCCGCTGCCCGCCCCAGGCTGTCCCTGCGCCCCGGCCCCGCCGCTGCCCGCCCCAGGCTGTCCCTGCGCCCCGGCCCCGCCGCTGCCCGCCCCAGGCTGTCCCTGCGCCCCGGCCCCGCCGCTGCCCGCCCCAGGCTGTCCCTGCGCCCCGGCCCCGCCGCTGCCCGCCCCAGGCTGTCCCTGCGCCCCGGCCCGGCCGCTGCCCGCCCCAGGCTGTCCCGCCGCCTTCCGGGCTCCGTGTGGGGCGGGAGGCCGGTCCGAGGCGCTGGAAACAGGCTCCTGTGCGTCCTGCGGAGATTCTGAGACCGGCGCTGCCACCTCCGGCGGCGGAGGGCGTGGTTGGGGAGGCGGGCGCGGGGGAAGGAGCCGCTGAGTCAGCCGTGTGGGCTCAGGTCTGGACTCTGCGGCCGCTGGGTAAGGGACAAGGCACCGAGCCTCTCTGCGCCCGCCCGGGGTAATGGGGCTGGGGACGCCCTGAGCCTGCGCACCGACCCCCAGACAAGGCTCAGCGGCAGGCGGACGGAGCGGGGACCCGCTGTCTCCCCGCCGGAGCCTGGCCCAGGCCGCTGGACCGCACCCTCTGGGACTGCCCGGGGCTGCGGGCGGAGGCAGGAGCGTGGCCCGCGGGCCTTTCCGCACCGGGAAACGGGGTGCGGGCAGCCTGTGTGGGGGCGGGCGCGGGGGTGCAGGCGGAGGAGGCTGGGGGTGTAGGAGGAGGCTGGGGGTACAGGTGGAGGCTGGGGGTACAGGTGGAGGCTGGGGGTGCAGGCAGAGGAGGCGGGGCTGCAGGTGGAGGAGGCTGGGGGTGCAGGCGGAGGAGGCTGGGGGTACAGGTGGAGGCTGGGGGTGCAGGCGGAGGAGGCGGGGTTGCAGGCGGAGGAGGCTGGGGGTGCAGGCGGAGGAGGCTGGGGGTGCAGGCGGAGGAGGCTGGAGGTGCAGTACGAGGCTGGGGGTGCAGGCAGTGGAGGCTGGGGGTGCAGGCGGAGGAGGCTGGGGGTGCAGGCGGAGGAGGCTGGGGGTGCAGGCGGAGGAGGCTGGGGGTGCAGGCGGAGGAGGCTGGGGGTGCAGGCGGAGGCTGGGGATACAGGCGGTGGAGGTTGGCTTTTGGGGTAACCCAGATGCAGGGGAAGGTGGCTAGACTGGCAGCCTTGCTCACACGCACATTGTTAAATTTTCAGTAATCTTGCAGGTTGGTTGTTAGAGTGATTAAAAGTTAAATTATGTAAATGCACAATGAGAAAAATTTTATTAAAAACAGGCAAAAAAACCCTTAAAACCCACCACTTCCTATTTTATTACATTTCCTGTCACCTGTGCCTTTGAAGCTGTGTCCGGGCACCTGTGTGCCGCGCTGTGAGGTCTGCTGGCGCCGCCCGGCCAGGCCGGTCAGCACGGCCGAGGCCGCCCGCAGCCACGGAGCCGCAGAGCGCCGGGCTGTGGGGACGGCGGGCCGCCGGGAGCAGAGCCCGGCGCACAGCACGGGCTCAGGAACGTTCACCCAGAGTGTTTCTGCCTCTGGGCGTCGCTGGCTGCCTGCTGTAGTCGCAGCCGTGAGACACTCCTTTCTGAGAACGGGAGACCAGGGCCAGGAGAGAGCAAGGCCCGCTTCGGCCCTGCGGGTCTGTGCCAGGTGCGGGGGCCCAGACAGGAGGTGGAGGCTGGAGCCTGGGGCCTGTGCCTGGGGCTCTCCCCGGCCCCCCTTCTGTGCCCCCTCCCTGGCCTTCTGTGCCTCTAGGAAATGCACGTCTCACACGGAGAGAAAGGGCAGGGGCAAGTGACACGTGCAGCCCACACCCGCCCAGTGCTCCCAGCCTGCGGCCCGTCCCTCCGCACTTCCTGCAGGCTGTGCCCTGGGAGGGTAGCAGAGTGGGTGCCTGTCTGACCAGACAGAGCCGCCGTGCAGACCAGATGACGCTGGCTCTGCTGCCCATTTGCAGTTTGAAGGCCGGAAGTACTGCGAGCACAACTTCCAGATGCTGTTTGCTCCGTGCTATGGCTCCTGTGGTACGTAAGGGTGGTGGCGGGCCGGTGGGCCAGGGTCCCCGTGAGGCCGGGGCCCCGTGAGGCCAGGTCCCGTGTGGGTCCCGTGTGGCCAGGTCCCGTGTGGGTCCCATGTGGCTAGGTCCTATGTGGCCAGGGTCCCCGTGTGGCCAGGTCTGGAGCTCTCCCGTGCCTGTTTCTCTGAGCACCAGCCTTCAGGCCCCTCAGGCAGCTCCCGGGGCTGCACCGGGCCTGGGGCCGTGTGGACTGGGCTTGGGGCTGGGCGGAGGGAGGGCCCGGCCCTGGCCAGCAGGGACCTCCTCTTTCAGGCGAGTCCATCCTTGGCCGCGTCATCAAGGCCATGAACAACAGCTGGCACCCAGGCTGCTTCTGCTGCCGGCTGTGCGGAGCGGAGCTGGCCCACCTGGGCTTCGTGAAGAACACCGGCAAGTGAGCGGGTGGCGAAGGAGGTGCCGAGCGGGAGCTGGCAGCCCTCAGGAGTGAGTCAGGTGACACCAGCCTCCGCCTCCCACCTGCCCCGGCTGGGCTCTGGAGAGAGCAGGCCGGCTGTCACTCTTTTTAAAAAAAGATATATTTTATAGATTTTTTACAGAGAGGAAGGGAGAGGGATTGAGAGTTAGAAACATTGATGAGAGAGAATCATCAATCAGCTGCCTCTCGCACACCTCCTACTGGGGATGTGCCCTTGACTGGAATCGAACCCGGGACTTTTCAGTCCGCAGGCCGACGCTCTATCCACTGAGCCAAACTGGTGTCGGCCGGGCTGTCACTCTTAAGTTCGTACGCCTCCTGGGCTCCGCCAGGCCTCCTTGCACCTAACTCCAGGCTCTCAGAGAGGGGCCCTCCACTTCCCCCTCCGCCCACTGTCTCCACCCACCCACTCAGGTGGCCTCCCTCCTGCTCCCTGAGGGGCCAGGCCCTGGGGCACCTGGCTGCCCAGCATCTGTGCCCTGCAGCCTGGCCATGTCTCTGCTCACCCTGTGCCCTGTTGAGAAGGCTGGAGGCTTCAGTAGCTCTCCTCCCTCCCCCCTTCCCCCCTCCCTCCTCCCTCCCTCCCTCCTCCTTCCCTCCTTCCCTCCCTTCCCCCTTCCCCCCTCCCTCCCTCCTCCCTCCCTCCCTCCTCCTTCCCTCCTTCCCTCCCTCCTCCTTCCCTCCTTCCCTCCCGCCCCCCTCCCCCCCGCCCTCCCTCCTCCCTCCGCCCTCCCTCCTCCCGCCCTAAGGCTGGGTGGCCCCAAGGCCCAAAGCGCCCTCCGCAGCCCTCCCCATCTGCTCCATGGCCTCAGCCCCCTCGGGGCCCATGGCCCCCAGCGCCACCCTGGGAGGCTGCCGGCCTCGGGGGCTCTGCCTAGGCCTCTTTCCTGCTGAAATGCCTTCTCTGTGGCCACGCACTCGGGTCTTCTCCAGGGGCTCCCCTCCTGCTGGCGCCTGGGGCTCCGCACTGGGCCCTCCGGTCTGTGTGCCCTCCCACTGTCCTCCTGTGGCCTTGGCCCGGCCACTGCGCCTCCGCTCGGTCTGTGCACAGGCACCCCCTCCGCTCGGTCTGTGCACAGGCGCCCCCTCCGCTCGGTCTGTGCACAGGCACCCCCTCCGCTCGGTCTGTGCACAGGCACCCCAGTGCAGCCCCCCCCCCCCCCCACACACACACACACTGAACCCGCTCAGGGCAGAGCCGCCTGCGCGCTGCCCCCTCCACACACCCCGGTCCCGGCTCCCACCGCTCTGACAGCGCCCTGCCCTCTGCTCTGCTAGCGAGCTCAGCGCTGCCGCCCTCACAGCCTGTCCACCGGGCTCGGGCGCTCGGCAGGAGCCTGGCCGGGCCCCTGCTGGGTGTGCCCCCTCTGGGTGTGTGCCCGCTGCCGGGTGTGCCCGCTGTGGGTGTGCCCCCTGCCGGGTGTGTGCCCGCCCCTGGGTGTGCCCGCTGCCAGGTGTGCCCGCTGCCGGGTGTGCCCGCTGCCAGGTGTGCCCGCTGCCGGGGGTGTGCCCGCTGCCGGGGGTGTGCCCTCCCCTGGGTGTGCCCGCTGCCGGGTGTGCCCGCTGCCAGGTGTGCCCCCTGCCGGGTGTGCGCCCGCTGCCAGTGTATGCCCGCCCCTGGGTGTGCCCGCTGCCAGGTGTGCCCGCTGCCGGGGGTGTGCCCGCTGCCGGGTGTGCCCCCTGTGGGTGTGCCCGCTGCCGGGTGTGCCCGCTGTGGGTGTGCCCCCTGCCGGGTGTGTGCCCGCCCCTGGGTGTGCCCGCTGCCAGGTGTGCCCACTGCCGGGGGTGTGCCCGCTGCCGGGTGTGCCCGCTGCCGGGTGTGCCCGCTGTGGGTGTGCCCCCTGCCGGGTGTGCCCCCTGTGGGTGTGCCCGCTGCCGGGTGTGCCCGCTGTGGGTGTGCCCCCTGCCGGGTGTGCCCGCTGTGGGTGTGCCCCCTGCCGGGTGTGCCTGAGCACGTCCTGCCCCCTCCCAAGACACAGGCGCAGGCCGGCGCACGCCTCCTCAGAGAGCCCGCAGGAGAGGGAAGGTGCTCTGGCGATGGGCGCACTCTGAGGGCGCAGAGCTCGGGTTGGGGGCGCGCTCTGCGGGAGTCCAGAGCGCGGCCGCCCCGCTGCCCCTTCGCCCCAGTGCCGTCCTGGGGTTGGAGAGAAGTCTGGGAGCGCCTAACCAACACACGGAGACCTGCCGCAGGCCGTGTCTAGTCGATGGTGGGACGCCGCGGAGCTGCTCAGCCTGGCCGGTGGCAGTGGCGCGGAGGAGCCCGCAGGCCGATGGCGGAGGCCAGCTCCCCGCCGAGGGCTCCGCAGGCCTGACCACACTCCCGCTGGTCTGCGCGGCCAGGACTCCGTGGGCAGCTGTGAGAAGCGGGGGTGGCAGTGCCCCGCTCCGAGCGGCTCCGGCAGCAGGAGGGGCAGGGGCAGGCCATGCTCTGGAGGTGCCGGCGGCTCCGGCTCCGGAACCCAGGGCACCTGGCAAAGGCGCCAAGGGAACGCCAGCACCTGCGCATCACGGGAAGTACTGCGCCCCCCCCCCCCCCCCCCCATGCCCGGGCCTCCCTGCCGAGCCGCTGTGTCCGAGGGGAAGGAGCCGGAGCGCCGGCAGCACCCAGGAAAGCGGGCCTCCTGCCCTCCTGCTGCGGTGACCACTGAGACCCCGGCGCAGGGCCAGGCCACAGGGCAGCCTGCAGACGGTGCTCCCTTTTCAGGGGTTTGTGCGTGGGGGAGACAGGACCACGAACTGGCCCCTGGGGGATGAGGTCTGACCTGGTGGGGCGGGCGTGTGGCTGGGGAAGCTCACAGCTCGGACCTGGCGCTCACCGAGCTCTCGGTGGTCCTCCCTCCCAGGCTAGGGGGCCGCCCCGAGGGCCGGGGGCCGCCGAGCAGGCTGCACAGGGTGCTGCGGAACTTCTCGGCCACGAAGAAGTACACGACGGGGTCCAGGGCCCCGTTGAGGCTGGTGAGGCAGGAGGTGAGCCGGTTGCCCAGGGCCAGGGCGCGCCGGGCGGCGCAGGAGGGGCTGCGGTGGCGGCGCAACACGTAGACGGCCCGGTGCGCGTGGTAGGGCAGGAAGCACACCAGGAAGATGGCCAGCACCAGCGCGATGGTGCGCACCGCCCGGCCCCGGAGGCGCGCGTCCACGCGGGGGCCCCGCCGCAGGCTGCGCAGGATCAGCAGGTAGCAGGTCACCGTGGTGACGAAGGGGAAGGCGAAGGCCACGGCCAGCGACACGAGCGCGTGGGGCGAGGCCTTCTCCCGGTACAGCTGCAGGCAGACCACCGCGCGGCCGGAGCGCACGGTCTGCGGGCTCAGCAGCAGCGGGGCCATGGCCACGGCCACCACCGCCCACAGGAAGGCGCAGGCCAGGTGCGCGTAGCGCGGCCGGCGGAGCTTGAGGGACCGGACGGGGTGCACGATGGCCAGGAAGCGGTCGGCGCTGATGCAGGTGAGGAAGTAGATGCTGGCGTACATGTTGAGGTAGAAGAGGAAGCCGGCGAGGCGGCAGGGCACCTCCCCGAAGGGCCAGTGGCTCCCGGAGAAGTGGTAGACCAGGCGCGCGGGCAGCGCCAGCACGGCGGCCAGGTCGGCCAGGGCCAGGTGCAGCAGGAACACGTCGGCCGGGGTGCCTGCCCGGCGGTCCCGGAGGAAGAGCCACAGGGCCAGGGCGTTGCCCAGGAACGCCAGGAGGAAGTCCAGGAGGTAGAAGGAGGCCAAGAGCACATTCTCCAGCCGCGTCTCCCGGCCGCACGGGTCCGCCGCTGCCAGGGAGCGGTTGGCGGCCAGCCCGGAGGCGCCCTCGAGGCCGAGGCCGGTCATGCTGGGCTGGAGGCAGAGCCCGGAGCCTGAGGACGGAGGAAGGGTCGGTAGAGCGCGGCCTGGGGTGGGGCCGGGACAGACCCGCCCAGCCCGCCGTGCACGGCCGGTTCCCAGACGCACACAGAGCCAGCCCCGCGCTGCCTGCTGCGGACGCACCGCTGTGTGAAGGCTCTGCGCCAGGGTGTGTGTGTGTGTGTGTGTGTGTGGGGGGTGGACTCCATGGTCTCAGACCTCGCAGTCAGCCCCGGGGGAGGCGGGAAGGGCCCTCAGGGTGCTGTCTGAGGCAGGGTGGTACGTGGGCCTGAGCCCCTTCCTGGGGGAGCCTAGGTGCCCTGCTAGCACTCAGCTCCGCAGGGCCTGAGGCCGCACGCCCCCAGGGCGGGTGCAGTGTGGCCCCTGCCGCAGCCAGGCGCTGCCAGAGGAGGGCCACTGGCCACAGGTGCTCCCAGGACCCAAGAGGCCGGGCGGGAGCACCCGCCTGCCGCACCCACATGGAGGCCAGGGCCGGGCCTGGCGAGCCAGGTTCTCCCCACAGACAGGTGACATGCACTTGTTTTGATACCGGGCTGCTCTGGAGACCCAAAAGGCGGGTACGTCCCCCCAAACACCGGACCCTCCAGGCCTGGAGGGGGAGGTGCAGCAGGAGAGGGTGGCCTCCTGGCCCTGCTGCTCCAGTCCTGGGTGCCCACGGCTCTCCGGAGGCTCCCGGGGTGGGGAGGGGGCTGGGCAGGAGAGGGCTGTGCCAGGAGAAGCACCTGATGAGGGAACGGTCCAGGTTCTGGGTGCTGGCTCAGAGGGCTTTCCTCATGGGCCTCAGCACACTGAGCTCCTGCCTCACGGACAGGGGACAGGCTGGGCCCTGCCCGTGTGCCCCTGGGCCACTGAGGGAGCAGGGGGAGGGCCCAGGGGATGGGAGGGAGCAGGGGGAGGGCCCAGGGGATGGGAGGGAGCAGGGGGAGGGCCCGGGGGATAGGAGGGAGCAGGGTGGGTCCAGGGATGGGAGGGAGCAGGGGGAGGGCCCAGAGGATTGGAGGGAGCAGAGGGGGCCCAGGGAATGTTAGGGAGAAGGGGGAGGACCCAGGTGATGGGAGGGAGTAGGGGGGAGGGCCCAGGGGATGAGAGGGAGTAGGGAGGAGGGCCCAGGGGATGGGAGGGAGCTGGGGAAGGGTCCAGGGGATGGGAGGGAGCAGGGGGGAGGGCCCAGGGGATGGGAGGGAATAGGGCGTGTCCAGGGGATGGGAGGAGCATCAGGGAGCAGTGGCTGCTGATTGCTTTAAGCAGGCGTCTTCAAACTACGGCCCGCGGGCCACATGCGGCCCGCAGAGGAGTCTGATCCGGCCCGCCAGGTTTTTTGGGCAGTGAGCGCAGCCGAGGTGTTACAGTAGGAATTAGTAGTTCATATAGTCCGGCCCTCCAGCTCTCTGAGGGACCGTGATCTGGCCCCCACTTTAAAAAGTTTGAGGACGCCTGCTAAGGGATGGAGGGAGTGGACATCTAATTACATCACACTGCAGGCCCAGTGCACAGAAATTCATGCACGATGGGGTCCCCTTAGCCCAGCCTGCACCCTCTCCAATCCGGACCCCTTGGAGGATGTTCGCCTTCCATATTAGGCCTGATCCTGGATGGGGCCTAAACTGGCCGTCAGACCTCTCGCTTCCTATTCTGGACCACTGGCTTCTAATCACTCACCTGCCTGTCTGCCTGGTTGCCCTTAACTGCCCCACCCCCTCTGCTGGCCTGTTAGCCCCTCACTGCCCCACTGGCCAGCCTGGTCATCTCTTACTGGCCCCCCCTCCTGACAGCCTGGTCACCCCAGCAGCCTGCTTGTTCAGTTGTTTGGTTATCCCTTACTAACCCCCCTGCTGGCCTGGTCATAGGCAGCCATCTTTTTTTGGGGGGGAGGGGGCGTGATGGCTAATTTGCATATTACCTCTTTATTATATAGGATTTTTTTTTAATTTTTGAAGGGACCCATGATTTTTCCCCACCCAAATGGTCCCCTCTGGCTCCAGAGAATTGCAGGATGCCTGAAATTAGCATTTGGAGGCGGTTTTCCTGCTGTTTCCAAGTGTGTGTGACCTGTGCGTATGGAGAGAGGGGCGGAGGGGTGGGGCCTGGGAAGAGGCTGGGCCTTTGGAGCCCAGGGATGAGGGAGGGCTGCTGAGGGCCAGCTGGGCGCCTCCCTCCAGGCCCCGCCTGCAGCCTTCCCTGCAGACTGTGCTGCTGACTGGCGGCTGCCAGGGGTGCAGAGGCAGGCCTCAGGGACCCATTTTGCAGAGTAGGAATCAGCCTGAGTCTGCGAACCTGCCAGGGTCACTGGGCTGGGCGATAGCCTGGGAGCTGGAGGCCAGCTCACAGGGACACCCAGCACCCGGGCCGTGCTCTGGACGGCCCGCAGCCCGAGGCCGGCTGTCCGCCTGGCCCCAGGGCCAGTGACAAGCTTGGGGGGTCCATACAACGCGAAATGCAGGGCCCTTGTTCAGAAAGGAGGAGCTTCGGGTGGTGACCGCAGAGCTCCTCCGAGCGTGGGCCCTGGTCCCACCACCGCTCTGCTACTCGCTGGAGCCGCCTCCCTGCCAGGGCTGAGCCGCTCCAGGCGAGACTCAGTTCCAATGCTGTCAGCTGGTTCCCTGTCCCGCCCGCCAGGGGTGTGGTAGGGTTTCCCAGGACGGTCTGCATTCCGCTCTCCCTGCCCTGCTCAGGGGAGGCCCAGGGCCCGGAGTGCGGGCCGTGGGGAGGTGAGTGACCGGCGGGGCCATTAGGAGGCTCAGTGCGCTGGCAGGCGGGCCGCGCTCCGCCCTGCGGCTGCCGCGCTGGCTCAGCCCGGCAGGTGAGGGCTGGGCGGCCGGCAGCTCCCCTGGAGCAGGTCCTGTGGGCAGGGACTCTGCAGCCGCTCTGGTGAGGGTGTCTTCATAGGGAGGAGCATGCAGAGCACCTCCGGGCAGGCCACGCCGCCCTCCGCCCTCCGCCCTCCCCCTTACCTCTCGCAGGTGCAGCCGGAAGGAAGGCTGTGTGAGCTCCTGCAGCGGCCGGGCGGAGCAGCTATTTAAGGAGAGGAGGGGAGGCGGCGGCCCCCGCTCTCAGGCCGCTCACCAAGGGTCCCTTGTGGTGCCGGCCCGCTGGGCGGCTGAGTGCCCCCGCGCCCGCGCCCGCGCCCAGCTGGGCCGGCACCACAGAGGCCGAGTGTGCGGGCCTGGGAGTGCTGCGGGCGGGCGGGGGCTGCTGGGACGGACAGGCACACTAGCCATTTCAGAAGGGGACAATCTCCCACCACTGGCTGCCATGGCAACTGGCTCAGGCTCCCAAGCCTGCACAGGAGACAGTGAGGGGCTGGTGAGTGGGGAGGGAGAGGCTGGGGTGTCTGTCTGCTGGATGACGGATCTTTTCAGGACACCGATGTGGGGCCCTGTGTCCTCCGATAATCGCTCCCTTTGGGCACAGCCACGGCCTTTATCCCGCCGGCCAGCTGCGGCCTCATAATGGCGCTGTCTGCACCTCGCCCCTCCCGGAGGCTGCCCACCGCCCCGGCCCCCAAGCCCTACTGGGCGTTCGCTGCTCCGAGACCCTCACACAGAGGCTGTTCCTCCATCTTTCCAAAAATGATGTGTCCGGTGGCATGGGCCCCAAGCTGCCATTTTGAATTTCAAAACTTTTAAATACTTTAGTTAAAATGTGAAACATGTTTGTGGCCACCTTGTGGAGAAGCTGCCTTGAACTTGTTCTGCCTTGGCCTGCTGGCCGCGTGGGGGTGGCTGCCCTGCAGACCTAGCGGCTCAGGAGGAGGAGCTGGCCAGGAAGTGGGGCTCCATCTTCCTTCGCGGGAGGAATCCTCGCAGTCGCCTGCCTTCAGGTCTGCAGGGGGCATCTGGGTTCTGTCGGAGAGCTGGGCCCCTCGAGTCTGCCTGCTGGTGCCGGAGGGCGCCTGGCAGCGGCTCATTGGCTGGGGATGAGGGTGTCGGCTGCTGCCTGGCAGGCCATTTCTGTGGTCGGGTGACTGCCCACAGAGACGAGGTCACTGCAACAGGACTGGGGGAGTTGTGCCAGTTCCCGTAGCTTTGAGGAAAGGCTGCCCCACGTGGGTTGAGTGTGATGACAAGAGGCCCCCAGGCACTGTGTGGGCAGCGGGGAATGGCCTCCCTCAGGCTGCTATGGCAGGGCCCCGGGCCGGGGGGCGGACAGCCCCCTGGGCTTCAGGGATCTGGGGACTGAAAAGGGGAATCCGAGTCACAGAGCTGAAGGCCGAGGCCTTGGATGGACAGGGCGCCAGGGTCGCAGCTCCCAGCCCGGGTCTTGCCGTGCCGTCCGAGAGCAATGCCCACCTTCTCCTGTGCCACCACCCTCGTCCTCCTCACCCGGGGCAGCGTGGCTGGGAGCCTCTGAGCACGCGGCCGCGGGCACCCACTCGAGCCCCTTGCCATTCCCACCACCGGGGCGGGCAGAGGCCAGTGCTGCACAGCATGGAGCCCAGGCCCAGAGGGAGCAGGCCTGCCTGGGCCCCACGGGCCTGGAGCGTGAGGGGCAGCCCTCCATCGCCAGGGGAACCGGGATCGAGTGGATCGGGGAGTGTGCCCCGGGCATTTGCAGATGGAGGCCGGCGGGGAAGGAGTGTGCCTGGGGACCTGGCACCCAAGGCCAGGGCAGCACCCTGCTGGGTGATGCCGTGGCGCCACAGCCACTGCCCAGGGCAGGGGCAGCACCAACCGGGGCCTCACGGAGGAGCCTGTGGGACAGGCCCCGGTTGGTGCCTCTGCTGGCCCGCACTCCCCTTTGCACACACACAGCCTGCAGACAGCTCCCCTTTGCACACATACAGCCTGCAGATGGCTCCTCTGTACACACAGCCTGCAGACGGCTCCCCTTTGCACACACACAGCCTGCAGATGGCTCCCCTTTGCACACACACAGCCTAAACACAGCCTGCAGAGGGCTCCCCTTTGCACACACAGCCTGCAGACGGCTCCCCTTTGCACACACACAGCCTAAACACAGCCTGCAGAGGGCTCCCCTTTGCACACACAGCCTGCAGAGGGCTCCCCTTTGCACACACACAGCCTAAACACAGCCTGCAGAGGGCTCCCCTTTGCACACACAGCCTGCAGAGGGCTCCCCTTTGCACACACACAGCCTGCAGAGGGCTCCCCTTTGCACACACAGCCTGCAGAGGGCTCCCCTTTGCACACACAGCCTGCAGACGGCTCCCCTTTGCACACACAGCCTGCAGACGGCTCCCCTTTGCACACACACAGCCTAAACACAGCCTGCAGAGGGCTCCCCTTTGCACACACAGCCTGCAGATGGCTCCCCTTTGCACACAGCCTGCACACAGCCTGCAGACAGCTCCCCTTTGCACACACAGCCTGCAGACGGCTCCCCTTTGCACACACAGCCTGCAGAGGGCTCCCCTTTGCACACACAGCCTGCAGATGCAGTCCCCGGGCGAGCCCAGGGAGAGGCGGCCCTCTCAGCCTCCTGGCCGCCCTGCTGGACCTGCCGTGGTGGCTGCCACTGGCCATGTGACCACTCATGCCTGTTGGGAGGCATTTGAAAAATAAAACTAATTTCTTAGCAAAAGTCAGGGAAATGTCTACTCTGGTCCACACAACGTCTTGGGCTCGGTGGACGGAGAGAAGAGCTCAGTTGGCTGCTCTGTCCTGGACGTGGGAAGGGGCGGAGCAGGGGGCGCCGGCCTCTGTGCCGGGCCGTCTCAGTGCCTGCACTTCCACAGGCACCTGTGCCGCCCTGCCACAGCTGGGAGAAGGCCCAGGGCCTGGGCAAGCACGTCTGCCAGCCGTGCCACCTGGTCAGCGAGGAGCCGCCCCTCCTGTTCAGGAGTGACCCCTGCCAGCCCGACCACTTCAGCTGCACCCACTGCAGGTACCAGGGAGGGCAGGGCGGGCGGGGAGGTGCCGGGGCGGGAGGCTCTTCAGGGGCTGGCCCCAAAGGGGCTGACACGGGGCTCCGAGGAGGGGCAGGGTGAGGAGGGTGCTGCTGGTGGGGAGGTGGAGAGGGAAGAGGGGCTGTGAGCCAGCCTGTCTGGTGCCAGGTCAGCGCCATCTGCACATGCTGTGCCCAGACCAGAAGCCCGCAGCCCCTGCCCTGGTCCTGCTCCCTGGGCTGACACTGCTGGGGCTCACACAGGGCCCTGCAGGCCGGGGGTCAGGGGCTCAGAGGGGGGGCAGGGGATGGGGATGGGGGCTCACAGAGGGGGGCAGGGGATGGGGGCTCACAGAGGGGGGCAGGGGATGGGGGCTCACAGAGGGGGCAGGGGATGGGGATGGGGGATGGGGATGGGGGCTCATAGAGGGGGGCAGGGGATGGGGGCTCATAGAGGGGGGCAGGGGATGGGGATGGGGGCTCACAGAGGGGCCCTGCAGGCCGGGGGTCAGGGGCTCACAGGGGGGGCAGGGGATGGGGATGGGGGCTCACAGAGGGGGCAGGGGATGGGGGCTCACAGAGGGGGGCAGGGGATGGGGGCTCATAGAGGGGGGCAGGGGATGGGGGCTCATAGAGGGGGGCAGGGGATGGGGATGGGGGCTCATAGAGGGGGGCAGGGGATGGGGGCTCACAGAGGGGGGCAGGGTGGATGGGGGGGATGGGGCGTAGGGGATGGGGTGTTAATAGAGGGGGGCAGGGTGGGGATGGGGATGGGGGGCTCATATGAGGGGGCCAGGAGGGGATGGGATGGGGGCTTCATAGAGGGGGCAGGGGATGGGGGCTCATCGGAGGGGGCAGGGGATGGGAATTTTGGGGGGCTCACAGAGGGGGCAGGGATGGGATGGGGGCTCACAGAGGGCACTGGTGGGATGGGGCTGGGGGCTGGGGCTGGGGGCTCACACAGGGGCTGGGGGATGGGGCTGGTGGTGGTGGGCCTGCCCGGGCTGAGCCCCCAGGGCAGGTGCAGCTGCTGGAGGAGCCCGCGGCTCCGGGTGGGGCAGAGCGGCCTGGCCCACCCAGGGCCTGTGGCCCGGAGCCGCGGGCTGTGCGGGTCCCTGTCCGGGCGTTGGGCCGGGGGTCTCCTGGCCCGGGGTCCCCGGAGGGAGCAGCCCCGGACCTGTGACCCCGCAAGGGCTCCGCCCCCGTCACCGCCCCGTCACCGCCCCCCGTCACCGCCCCGTCACCGCCCCCGTCACCGCCCCGTCACCGCCCCCCGTCACCGCCCCCGTCACCGCCCGTCTCGTCCGCCCCCCCGTACCGCCCCGAACCGCCCCGTCACCCCACCCGTCACCGCCCCCGTCACCGCCCCCTTCATCGCCCCCCCCGTCACCGCCCCCGACCACCGCCCCCCGACACCGGCCCCCCGTCACGCGCCCCCCGTCACCGCCCCCCGTCACCGCCCCGTCACCGCCCCGTCACCGCCCCCCGTCATCGCCCCGTCACCGCCCCGTTCCAGCTCCCCGTCACCGCCCCGGACACCGCCCCCCGTCACGCGCCCGTCACCGCCCCCCGTCACCGCCCCGTCACCGCCCCCCCGTTCACCGCCCCCCCCCGTCACCGCCCCTGTCACCGCCCCGTCACCGCCCCGTCACCGCCCCGTCACCGCCCCCGTCACCGCCCCCGTCACCGCCCCGTCACCGCCCCCCCCGTCACTGCCCCCGTCACCGCCCCGTCACCGCCTCCCCGTTCACCGCCCCGTCACCGCCCCCTCCCCCCCGTCACCGCCCCGTCACCGCCCCCGTCACCGCCCCCGTCACCGCCCCCCCCCCCGCACCGCCCCGTCACCGCCCCCGTCACCGCCCCGTTCCGACCGCCCCCCCCGTCACCGCCCCGTCACCGCCCCCCCCCCGTCACCGCCCCCGTCACCGCCCCCGTCACCGCCCCCCGCACCGCCCCGTCACCGCCCCCCCGTCACCGCCCCCCCCGTCACCGCCCCGTCACCGCCCCCCGTCACCGCCCCCCCGTCACCGCCCCCCGTCACCGCCCCGTCACCGCCCCGTCACCGCCCCCGTCACCGCCCCGTCACCGCCCCCCCCGTCACCGCCCCGTCACCCCCCCCCCCCGTCACCGCCCCCCGTCACCGCCCCCGTCACCGCCCCCCGTCACCGCCCCCCGTCACCGCCCCCGTCACCGCCCCCCGTCACCGCCCCCCATCACCGCCCCGTCACCGCCCCGGTCACCGCCCCCGTCACCGCGCCCCCCCGTCACCACCCCCCTGTCACCGCCCCCCCGTCACCGCCCCCCCCGTCACCGCCCCTCCATCACCGCCCCGTCACCGCCCCGTCACCGCCCCGTCACCGCCCCCGTCACCGCCCCCCCCTGTTCACCGCCCCGTCCACCGCCCCGTCACCGCCCCGGTCACCGCCCCGTCACAGCCCCCGCAGCACTCAGTGTGCGCCCAGTGCGCGAAGCAGTTCCTGGGCCACCAGCACTACGAGAGGAAGGGCCTGGCCTACTGCGCGCTCCACTACGGCCAGGTGAGGGCGGCACCATCCACACGCCCGGGCCCTGCCCTCCCTGCCCTCCCTCCCCTCCGCCCCCTCCCCTCCCTTTTCCTCCCTTCACTGTCCTCCCCTCCGCCCCCCCCTCTCCCCTCCCCTTCCCTTCCCTTCTCCTCTCCTCCCCTCCTTTCCCCTCCCGCTCTCCGGAAGGCCGAGGGGCAGAGGGGCACTGGGGTGCCCCCCGGGGCAGCTCTGACGGCCAGGGGTTGCCCCTGGTGGCTTCCTCGGGCGGAGGCTGTATCCTGGCAGGAGGCCGAGGCCAGGTGGAGGCTGAGCACTCTGGGGGCGAGGGGCGGGGGGCACAGCATCCCTGACCCCGGGTCGCCGCCCGTGTCTGACCTCTGCCTGGCTGCAGCTCTTCGGTGATGTCTGCTACCGCTGCAGCCACGTGATTGAGGGCAACGGTTAGCGCTCAGATGCGGCCCGGGGCCGGGGCGCAGACCGGGCCCAGCAGCTAAGCCGGGTTGGTGCGGCCAGGCCCGGAGCCAGCGGCTGCCAGGCTGGGGAGCGGCCAGGACCCGGCGTGGCAGGGGCCCGGAACAGCAGGGTCTGGTGCGGCCAGCCGGAGCACGCGGTGCCAGGCTGGGAGCGGCCAGGCCCGGAGTGGCCGGGCCCGGAACAGCCGGGTCTGGTGCGGCCAGGCCCGGAGAGCGGCTACCAGGCTGGGAGTGGCCAGGCCCAGAGCAGCACGGGTCGGGTGCGACCAGGCCCGGAGTAGCAGCTGCCAGGCTGAGAGTGACCAGGCCTGGAGCGGCCGGGCCCGAAGCAGCCGGATCAGGTGCGGCCCAGGCCCGGAGTAGCAGCTGCCAAGTCCAGAGCAACTAGGTCGGGGGCGGCAGTGGCCAGACCCGGAGCAGCTGGTTGTGGAACAGACCAGAGCAACAGAGGCCAGGCCCGGAGCAGCCAGGCCCGGAACAGTTCGCTCCTCGCCTGCCCCCGCCCCACGGCTGCCTCTCAGACATGGCTGGAAACTTTGCGAGAACTTGAGGGTCTGCTGAATCAAGTGATGAAGGCTTAGATCTGATGTGTTGAGTTAGTATAGCGCTGGGGTGTTGATCTCTGAGTGCCTTGGGTGGGGCCTGGATGAGGTTGGTTGACCTATTTGGAAATTGTCTTTGTGTGAAGTGTATCATTGGGCATGTGGAGGTATTATTGATATGAGAAAATGCTAAGTAACTGATTTACTATCTGAAAAGGCATTTACTATTGGGGAAAAGGAGGGAGGAAGAGACCCTGAACATAAACTGTGCACCTATGGATGAGGACAATGGGGAGGGGAGGGCGGCGGAGGGTGGGGTGGGAGCCTGGTGGAGGGGGGAAGAAATGAGGAACCTTTGTAATAATATGAACAATAAAGATTGATTTTTTTTTAAAAAAGGCCTCTGCCACGTGCCCCCGTCCCCCCACCCCGTTCCTCTGGGTGCGCCCTCTGCCCTCACAGTGCTGTCAGCCCTCAACAAAGCCTGGTGTGCCAGCTGCTCCTGCTCCGCCTGCCACAGCAAGCTCACCCTCAAGTACGTGCTGTGGCCAGTGGGTGCCCTGGGCGGCCCCGACTCTCCTTAGGCCTCCCCTGGGCACTGTGGGAGGAGGAGGAGGAGGAGGAGGAGAAGGAGGAGAAGGAGCTCTGTGAAGGAGGAGGAGGAGGAGGAGGAGCTCTGTGGGAGGAGGAGGAGGAGGAGCTCTGTGGGAGGAGGAGGAGGAGGAGGAGGAGCTCTGTGGGAGGAGGAGGAGGAGGAGGAGGAGCTCTATGGGAGGAGGAGGAGGAGCTCTGTGGGAGGAGGAGGAGGAGGAGCTCTGTGGGAGGAGGAGGAGGAGGAGGAGGAGCTCTATGGGAGGAGGAGGA